TGTGTGTGTGTGTGTGTGTGTGTGTGTGTGTGTGTGTGTGTGTGCGTGTGCGTGTGCGTGCGGGTGCGTGTGTGTGTGTGTGCGTGTGTGTGTGTGTGTTGTTTTAGAAGGCCCCAGATTCTCTCTCTCATTCCCTTCACAAATTATCACAAGCCATCCAGAACGGAAAAGTACGTGTCTGTGTGTGTGTTTAACTCTGTGTATATGTGTATGTGTATGTGTATATGTGTGCTTTTGTGTTAGATTTTCACCACAACAGCCCATGTTCCACCAGATGAATAGATCCAGAATCGGCACATCCTGACCTTTATTGCAGACAATGAAGAGCACTTGAGATGAGTCAGTCCAACAATGAAACAACTTTACCTCTAATGCAAGCAAAATGAATCATAAATGATCCGTTAAATCTCCTCCTTGACTATCTTTGCTTTGGGTTTCTTTGGGAGAGCCCTTTCATTTGTTCTTGCAGCTCCCCTTTTACTGTGCTCTCACGTACAAGGCTCTACGGTTGAGCATGAGCCAGCCACATCCCTGTGTACCATAACGGCCAACTTGCACAGTATGCGAGGCAGAGCAAGGGAGGAGTAATACTCCTGTTCATTTTTCGTCAGATCTTCAACTTATATTTTGTCTGTTCCCTTAACGATGCTCATTCGTATCCATTTACTAGTACACAAGAAGAGGGGGTGAGGAACGCGGCAGGGTTCTACAGAAAGCGAGGGGCAGAGGAGGGAGGAAGGGTGGAGAAAAGAAGTGGAGAGGCAAAGAACAGAACGAAGGAAAGGCAGACTACAGGCTTCCCAATACTCACGGCTTGAGCAGCCTACTTTAGAATGGCACAGGAGGCCAGTCAGTGTTTGGGTTGCAGAAGAATTCAAGTTGAGGAGCCGCCATTGCCTATGGTAAGAAGCCAGCCCTACAGACCGGAATATGACTGGTTGGCTTGTGGACTGTGGAAGCACCGAATCAAATTCTCACAGATGCAGTCGCTGCATCGAATGGCACGGCGTAGACATATGTCACAGGCTGCATGGCTCCTACATGCTAGGTACACAGAGACACCCCAACCACAATTGCAACGGCATTCCCATTCCAAGCCGTCTACAAATTGCACATGACATGTCCGTGTGACATACACAAGTGCAATGCTGATTGTCATCAAACATGTGAACACAAAAAGTCGCATGGGCTATGGCTTCATAATCCTCACGACACAAAGCATGCGAATCACATGCTCGCCGGATCTCAGGTGGGCCATCACAGAGCGGAATCGAGCAAGTTTCTTGCGTTTCCGCAGTCGTTATTTCCTCTCTATGGGCAAGCGACGGAGGGCTAATCCAGGGAAAGGGTGTTTAGCTGTTGCAAAATTTGGTCTGTAACAGCTCGCCCTGGCAGTGATAACCTTTCAGTACACCGCACTGTAGGGGGTTCATGTGACAGGCAATTTTCCTCCTCAGGCTGCTGTGTCTATTGTTCGACTAGGAAGGATAAAGGAATCTGACAGCAGTTGCAGCAGGTGTATGCCCAACGCTGCATGTGGGACATGCTAATAAAGGATGGGGCAGATGATGGCATTGAGGATAGTACATGCAGTCGAGACAGATACTTTCAATCACAGCTTCCTGGAAACATTGACAAAACATGGCATGTCGCTGACATGCCGGCCGGAAACCAGGCTGACATTCACAGCTATTTAAGCATGGCATGTCAAAGCCACAACGGCATATAGGCCAAGTACCAAGTGGGTGGGGGGGATGAGTGCAAGACAATGGGTCACAGTTTTTTACTGCAGAGGCTGGCCACGACAATGGAGCAGATTTTTACCACAGATGAGTAGATCCAAAATCGAATGCGAGTTGTAGATTTTCACCACAACAGCCCTGTTCCACCCAGATGAGTAGATCCAAAATCAAAGCCGCTTCATCTCTATTGTAGACAACAGAGCACACTAAAGATGCGCCAATCCAAGAACGAAACACTTTTACCTCTATAACAAGCAACATGAATCACAACAGATCCGTTATACCCCTTTTGTTTGTCTTTGCAGCTCCCTGTTGCCTCTGACATACAAGGCTGGCCTCTGTAAATGTGGTTTAGCGCTTATACCGGCCCGCTTGGACGCTATAAAAGGAGGCAGAGTGAAAGGGGAGGAATACTGCTGTTCATTTTTCTTCAGATCTGCTTATATTGTCTGTTCTCTTATGATGCTCGTTCATATGCATTCACTAGTAGTACACAAGAGGGAGGGAGGAACGGGGCAGGGAATGCAGTTCTATAGGAACTGAGTGGTGGGGGAGGGAGAAGGGGAAGAGAGGGTAGTGGAGGGGCAAAGAGCGGAACAAAGGAAAGCCAAACTTCAGAGGGTTCTCAATACTCGACCCTGTAACAGACAACTCAACAATAGCATGAGAGGCCAGTCAGTGTTCGAGTTGCAGGAGACTTTGATTTGAGGAGCAGCCATTGCCTATGGTATGTGGCCGCCCCTATAGACCGGACAGGACCTGTTCGGGTATGTAGACTGTAGAAACCACATCCAATTCTTGCAGTTGCAGTTGCCGAACCGAATGGCACGGTGAATGTCACAGCCCGTGTGGCTCCTACATGCTACAAACACAGAGGCACACCGGCCGCAACTGTATAGGAATTGCAATTCCAGCGCGTCTGCCACTTGGACATGACCTGTCAGGGTACCCTAGATGAGTGCTATGTTAACTGTCATCATACGTATCGCATTGGCTATGCCTTGAGTTGCCTTCATACTCCTCAACACAAAGCATGTGAATCACACACTTGCCGAATCTCAGCTGGGCCATCACAGAGAGGCATTGATTAGCTGTTGCACGATTTGGCCTTCCATAGAAAATATTATTCTTGAATTGGGCTATGTCGAATAAAGAATCTTGCATTCTTATTGATTATTTTTGAGTGAACCATCTCCCAGAAGAGATCCTAAAATAATTGCTTTACATCGACCCAACAAAGATGTAAGTTTTTTCTTTACGAGCCAAATTGATTGCTGAGACACGAAGTGCTGCGCCCTCACCTACATACTCTCTGGGTGCTGGTCACGATTCTCTCTCCGGCCAGCCGAAAGAAACCAGTTTTCTGGTGACCAACCTTCAACGTGCTGATCTCCAACCTCTGTATTCCAATTGGAATGAAGAAAGTCGCGTCGTAGTAGCGCCTTGGGCGATTTTTGGGTGGTTGGTTGCCCATCACGAATATGACTATTTTTTATTGGATTCCGGGCTCAATTCGGTTCAGTATATAGGCTTTCTGTTTTTATATATTTGGGTTCGTGCAGCATTTCCACCATATCGTTATGATCAATCAACGAGACTTGGCTGGAAAGTCTTATCAAAGAGCCAGGTCAGGCGGGTCACACGACCAAAGCCTGTCAGTTGCATTAATTTAATTCACAAAAAACAAAACCACACATATGCTACAAGGAATCAATTAATTCGGCATGGTAGAGAATCAAAACGGCGTACACAACCTACTCGAGATTTAAATCGATGTCCTCGAAAGCAGGGAGTATCCCTTCGTTTTCTGTAAGAACACCAACAGACCGCCCTGGCAGTGATCACCTTTCAGTACAGCGTATTGTACGCCGTTCATGTGATAGTTATCTTCTACCTCACGCTTCTGTGCCTGTTGTTCATCTGGCAAGGATGAAGACAATCCAACACATGGCATGCTGCTGACATGCCAGTAGGAAAGCACGCGGACGCTCACAGTTATTTAAGCATGGCATGGCAAGGTCACAACGGCATATTGGACAAGGGAGTGGGGGGATGAGTGCTAAACGTGTTGCACTTTTCGTGGCAGAGACTGGCAGTGACCATACCTTTGTAGTGTTCGGAGAAGAGATTATATTGTGTGCTTGGTAACCGAGCTACAGCTGTGTGGAGACAAAAGGCATAGCACAGCCATCATCCTCTAGAGAGAGCCCTTCACTACCTGTGGTAGAATCTGTCCGATCTACACAGGGAAGGGACGTTGCCTGGCCACAGCAGGATTGTTCTCTCGGAGCTGTAGACCTCGCAAGTGCACATCCAAATACTGTTCCTGATTGACCAGCCAGACTGAGTGGGATTCTCCCACTTGGTGATAGAAAGAGTTAATGTTTCCCAACATGTGCACCCTGCCACCATTGTCCCATAGGGTCCGTGAATTATCCGCAAAGGTAACAG